CATCGCCGCCAACCAGGAGTAGCGGGCGGACAATGTCCTCCGCGGGTCTATGGCTGAGCAGGTCCTGGTGGGGTGGTGGCGATGGGGGGGACACAGGTGACGGGGGGATGCCGCCGCGCTGATGTCCCCCCCTCGGTGGTGTCCCAGGTGGAACAGATCCGCAGGGACATCCAGGACTTCAAGGAGACCAGTGGGGTGGACAAAGTCATCGTCCTCTGGACGGCCAACACGGAGCGCTTTTGCGACGTTGTGCCGGGGCTCAATGACACCGCCGCCAACCTGCTGTGGGCCATCGAGGTCAGGGGACAGGGGAGGGGACCGGGGGGGTGACGACACCGCTCTGCTAGTGCTGAGCCGCCTCATGTCCCCGCAGCGAGGCCTGGAGGTGTCCCCGTCCGTGCTCTTTGCTGTGGCCAGCATCCTGGAGGGCTGCGCCTACATCAATGGCTCCCCCCAGAACACCTTCGTGCCGGGGGTGGTGGAGCTGGCCACCCAGCTCCACGTCTTCATCTGCGGCGACGACTTCAAGTCAGGTCAGACCAAGCTCAAGTCGGTGCTGGTGGACTTCTTGGTGGGCGCTGGACTCAAGGTACGTGGGGACGGGGCAGCCCGGGGGGGACCTGCCCGTGATGGGGGGTGACGGGGGGGTGACCTGCCTGCACTCCCTGCCCAGACCAAGTCCATCGTGAGCTACAACCACCTGGGGAACAACGACGGGAAGAACCTCTCGGCCCCGCAGCAGTTTCGCTCCAAGGAGATCTCCAAGAGCAACGTGGTGGATGACACGGTCCAGGCCAACCCTGTCCTCTACGGCCCCCAGGACAAGCCCGACCACTGCGTGAGTTGGGGGCCAGGGGGCGACACACGATGACGATGGGGGTGACGGGGAGGTGACGGGACGTCGCTTCACAGGTGGTGATCAAGTACGTGCCCTACGTGGGGGACAGCAAGCGCGCGCTGGACGAGTACACGTCGGAGATCATGATGGGCGGCACCAACACCATTGTCATCCACAACACATGCGAGGTGGGTGGGGTGGCCGGGGTGGCCCTGGGGGTGGCGTGTCCCCGGCGGGTGGCTCACCTCCCGCCCCTTGGTGCCCGCAGGACTCGCTGCTGGCCAGCCCCATCATCCTGGACCTGGCCATCCTCACGGAGCTGTGCCAGCGCGTCACCTTCTGCACCGAGGCCGACCCCGAGTTCCAGGGCTTCCACAGTGTCCTCTCCATCGTTGCCTTCCTCTGCAAGGCCCCGCTGGTGCCCGAGGGCACCCCCGTCGTCAACGCCCTCTTCCGCCAGCGCAGCTGCATCGAGAACATCCTGAGGTAGCCCGGCGGTCCCCGTGCTCGTGGGTGCCAGGTCCTACCCACCCTGGTGCCCGTGGTGGCACCCAAGGCTTGTAGAGGTGTCCCGGTGCTTGACACTCAGGGTGCCAACACCAGTGGGTCCCAGTGCTCAATGCCCGTGGGTCCCAGTGCCCGTGGGTGCCCCGTACCCGTGCGTGAGGTGTCCAAATCCAGTAGGTCCTGGTGCCCGAGGCCTGGGGTGCCCAACACTGGTGGGTGCTGGTGCTCAGTGCTGCTGCCACCAGTGGGTCCCAGTGCCCAGCACCCATGGGTCCCTGTGCCCAGCACCGGTGGGTCCCAGTGCCCATTGCCGATGGCGTCCTGGTGCGTGATGCCCAAAGGTGCCGGTCCCAGTGCCCGGGGTGTTCACCGCTGGTGGGTCCTGGTGATGCCCAGCACCAACAGGTCCCAGTGCGGATGAGTCCCCGGTTCCCAGTGCCTGGGGTGCCCAATGCGAGTGGGCCCCAATGCCCAAGGGTGCAACACCAGTGGGTCCCAGTGCCCAATGCCCATGGGTCCCAGCGCCAGTGGGTCCCAGTGCCCAATGCCCATGGGTCCCAGCGCCAGTGGGTCCCAGTGCCCAATGCCCATGGGTCCCAGCGCCAGTGGGTCCCAGTGCCCAATGCCCATGGGTCCCAGCGCCAGTGGGTCCCAGCACCAGTGGGTCCCAGTGCCCAATGCCCATGGGTCCCAGCGCCAGTGGGTCCCAGCACCAGTGGGTCCCAGTGCCCAATGCCCATGGGTCCCAGCGCCAGTGGGTCCCAGCACCAGTGGGTCCCAGTGCCCAATGCCCATGGGTCCCAGCGCCAGTGGGTCCCAGCACCAGTGGGTCCCAGTGCCCAATGCCCATGGGTCCCAGCGCCAGTGGGTCCCAGCACCAGTGGGTCGGGGTGCCCAATGCCCATGGGTCCGAG